AAAAAAAAAAAAAAAAAAAAAAGTAAGAATCCCTACCTACCGACCCTAATTTTTTCTGGACTGTAATAGGAAACACAACATTTATTTTGTTAGGCCTTGTATGGAATAGTCCAAATTACCTGACCAAAAAACAGGCTGACATACATGTATACTTGACACATGTTATGATTCTAATCTATCCCAAAGAAGTAATTTTCTAGACTTGCTCATCACTTCAGATATTGGTTATATCACATGATTATCAGATATCATTTTGACACAGTTCTATACTATAGACTCCCTGTGTAGCTAGGCCCATTCCCGCGATATAAGCAGCCGTGAGATATATCCGATACGCCGTCACGAGACACAGTTTACATGACCTGCATGTACAATACCAGGGTGGGGAGATCCAATGGCTCCTACAGGCTTGTTTTGCAGATGAAGTGATGTGATAGAAATGGTCCTTCCGATGCCTACAAGAGATATTTTCACCTCAGGTGTAAGTAGACCAAGGTTACAGAGATTCTTGCTTGCGATGTCACATGTATTTTTGCTAGTTTTGTCATTTAGGAGTGAATATGTAGTGACTTATGTATGGTGTATTGTGCAAGGGTATTTTAAGGTGGGGCTGTGTTATGTTGATATTGATGTTAAATACATCTGGAAGTAAGTCTGTTTTTCTTGAAGATAATATCCTTTATTTCTTTGTGACTGATACTATAAAAAGACCTATTTAGAATAATCAATATTCTATTATGGTCTTCTTTGTGGCCTTTCTTCAGTTATTGTCAGCCTTTGCATTCAAATCACCAGTTTTGACTGGGTATGCATAAGAATCTTAAATTTAGCATTTTCTTTTCATGTATTAACCCAAGAGCAGTGAATCTGTAGAAGGATATGCATTATGTTAGACCAATTGATTTTTTGAAATTAAAAGTTGCAGTGCTTGTCGTTCCCTTGATAATGATCAGTTGGCTTGTCAATTGGATTCACGCCGCCAGAATTTTAAACTGCTTAGTTGTCAGAAAATGTAAGTGCAAGCTTTCTTGTGGATTGTCAGAATCGAATGGGTAATTTTCTGGGTCTAACACTGGGTGATAATATCCAAAAGTTTATCAAAATTCTCATGTAGCTTCAGTAACAAATATTTTTCTTTTCTTATCAGTTTATCTTAGATTTCTTAAAGAGAGAGATGATTGGCAGCCCTTAAAAACAATTAGTGGTCAAAATACATGTAGCTTTGACCATGGTGCTGAAAACATGGTGGTTGTGAAGTTGCCATCATTTGAAGAGTCTGTGTGTTGTTCACTATTCAATAGGACATAAGTGTATTAAAAACATGTCAAAGTGTGCTCCTACACATAAAAAAATCATGTATCTTCATAAGAAAATGGTGTTAAAGCATACTTTTGGGGAATGAAGGGCGACTGCTTGTTTTTTAGAGCAAGGGCAAGTTCTGCCTGACAAGACACTTCCCAGTCATCAATTATTGATGTGAAGAAGCCTTTTATTGAGACCATTTGTTTCACAGGCCATATGGTCAACATCAACTGCCATGGTGTACCTTATGAATAATGCTGAGGAATGGTCTCTTTCCTGATACTTGATATTGAGGATGTCCCTTCTGTGGAATATAGGAAGGGTTCAACTTTTTTAGTATTCATGTTGTGTCTCTGATGTTAGATCTAACACAGTTGGTATAGATGAAGGTGATCATCAACAAATGTACCAGCTGTGCCATTATTGCTAACAATATATATATAATACTAAGTATATAATAGACAAATAATGTATAAATGGGACCGTCCATACAAGAAGACATCCCAAACCAAAACTATAGGTACTCATTTTCACCCAAATGCAGTGAAAAAATAGGTGTAAACTTTGAAGTGCCTTTATCAAGGGAACAACATTGGGATCTGTTTGGATTTGAGCCCAGAACCATAAGATTCTATTAAGATCACAGACCACATAATGGGCAAACCCCATAGTCAATAGTAGTTTGGGCACAAAGTAGTGCAGCACATTACTTGAGAAAGATGCAGAGATTCTTAAGTGCACAATGGCAAGGTGAAAGCTGTGTTGAATGGTAGAGCAATGCGTCAAGTTTCCGACCATATATGGTTTCTTTACCACAGAAATCCCCACAGGGTAAAAACTGTGTTCTGCTACTTGCAAAAGTAAAACCAAGGCTAATTTTCCATGTTTGTTTGTTTGTTTGTTCAGGAATGCATGGAGAAGAGAGTGGAGGAGCTGAGTCAGCAGCTTCAGGAGGAGAGGGCAGCCAGCCGCAGGGAGAAGCTGACTGTAGCCAGACTGCAGAGGGAGGTCGCACGCAACAAGAGCGAGGGGCCCATGGTCAGTGGAGTTACTATCCTCTATCAAAAATGTAGTACTGTACATCTATCCTAGTTTCTCTGAAACTGACTATATCCAGACTACAGAGGGAGGTCGCACGCAATAAGAGTGAGGGTCAGTAGAGTCACTATCTTATATAAAAAATGTAGTACCGGTACATCTATATCCTAGTTTATCTGAAACTGACTGTGGCCAGACTACAAAGGGAGGTCGCATGCAACAAGAGTGAAGGACCTGTGGTCAGTTAGTCAAAGTAGTAGGCATCCTTCCATTCTTGTCTTAATGAAGACTGAATAAACAATGTAGGAGCCTTGTCTTAGTACCTCAAAACTGAAGGTGTCTCTGTCAAGTTAGTGTGCTACAGACTTGTCTATGTTTATCAAAGACTTACTGTATATTGATTTTTAAACTTAAAAGTTTGAGGCTGAGAAATTTCATAGCACTAAACTGGCATTTACCCATTCAGTTTGAGAGATTGTAGCACTCCCCACTGTATGTAGGCTTCTGATATGCACTGGTGCATTATACTGAGGGATGTTCCATAGGACATCTATTTAGATGCATTTGTTCAGTGTGGTAGATTGTCAGTAACCCGTTAGAATTATGTTAGTAGATGTTAAATGTTAGATAAGGCAGTAAAGTCACTTTTCAGTAGTGGAGCTTAGTCATAACTTAAATACAAATCCCTGACATTTCAGCGAGAAAAGCTGATGAAGGACCTTGACCTTGAGCGCAGCCGGCGTGAGGAGACAGAACAGAAACTCAGGGACGTGACGGCAGACAACGAGCAGTGCAAGACCAGGCTACAGTCCCTGCAAAACGACATGCAACAGTACGTTCATTTCTTGTTATGTTCAAAGGAAAAAATCTTGTTTTTGCTCTGTTTCTTCTTCTCCAAACAAATAAGGGCAATAACCTGGACCAGACGTATGTCACCATGTTAACTAGTGTTGGGTTACATCATGTTGCAATTTTATAGCAGAACATCATGTTGCAATTTTATAGCAGGAGAGATTTAGACTACTGTCACCATATATATAAATATATGAATATGTTTGAGTAAGAATTAACAGAGCAGCCCATATGCAAAGCTAAACATTATGCATTTGCTTTGCGAATGTTACCTTTCTAGTTTAAATTTAAGACTTTTGTTCCAACACGAAAGGTAGAGCTTTTGACCAGTCACTCTGGTCATCCTCAGTAAAGTTTGACCCAGTGTTGACATCACACATCATAGAAGCCACTGGTTTTCTCCCCCTGGCAGGTTTTCTTGAACTGCAGAGGCCTCTTTTGTCAGAGACAGGAGGTTCTAGGGTTATTTTTGCTGTACATTTATTTGCTTGTGGCATAGTTTATGAACAAGTGCTGAAAAAGCTATCCTTGTACAGGTACATTGTACATTTCAAGGAAGAAGCAATACAAGTTTTAGCCTTCTAGCAACCTTCAAAAATTTTCTTTGTAAATATTGACTGGGGGTTTACATGTAAGTCTGACTTCTTTATTACATGTGAATTTTGGGGCCACCTACCCTTCAAAGTACAGTTTGTTTTTGGATAGGAAATGAGGCTGCAAATTTTGGCAATTATCAAGCATATTATCAAGGGATTCAGTTGAAGATTAGCGCACACTTGTAGATGAGTGTTTTTTGATTGAGAGGGAAATCCCCCCATGCTTATCTTCTAGACACACTGGCTCCCCCACAATGACTTTGAATTTCTGTGCCAATTATCATAAATTTGCTGCAAAATGGATTGACTTTTAAGCCTAGGATTGGGAATAATGTAAGGAAACAAAGGTGAAAAGTTCATTGGAGTTTTCCCTGTTGGATTTTCCTCCTGTAATTGTCCTCTGCTTCATTAAAGTCTGTACTGTTTTTTTACAGTACTGTGAATTGTTCTAAGGTCCCCTGGGCTTAATTTTGGTTTAAGTTTTTGGTTGAAACAATAATATAATGCAGAGCAGAGCACACAATCTCAATGTCATGAGTTTGCAGTGAGAGCTTACAATGAAAACAGCAAATATAGGAAAACTAATGCCAAAAAGCAGTTACTCAAGCAACAGGATATGATTTTGGAAACGTCAAACGTTTCAGCTAGTATCCAGTAGTTTTGATCAGTGACTGAGAGACCTGACGTTTCCAAAATCATATCCAGTTGCTTGATTAACTGCTTTTTGGCGTATCATATAACCTGGATGTCTAACCTTCATCGACATAGGAAAACTAAGACAAATATTTCATAGTTTACATTATTGCAAACGTTTTAACTTGGTTGTCTCTACGTTGGCATCAAAATCAGGACATGCTTTGACATTAGGTTACATGTAGTTGACTGAATCTCTTGTAGAAATATATGAGTTATTCCAATTCCAGCTTTTGAATATATATTAAGTATTAGCCCAATTCTATAAGAAGTATTACTATTAGCCCAATTCTGTATCAACTAAAAATTCTCCATCACAACTGTCCCAGTCTGATATATGAGAGGACAAAAGAAGTAATAGGATTTGGTTATCATAACATTCAGGATTTTGTACGGCTTCCTTATGGCACGTTTTAGTATCCTTATCTTTCTATACAGCTATTTTATTGCCATAGGCAGGGATAGAATCCGGGTTAAGTGCATTTCTAAAGCTTAGCTCGAAATCCATTTTGACACTATCTTGTGGGTAGTGTGCGATTGTGATTACATTACTACCTGTGCATGGTAGATAGTTCTGCTGTATTGTGATTGTAAATCATTATATGGTAAAAGCATTGTTGAGTTCCTTTTAAAATGTAGGATCTTTTAGAGAAAAATGCATAAGTTTTATTCCAAATAGATTTTTTTACGTACTCAGATTTGGGTCAAATATCCATAACTCATGGTTGGTTCTGTCTTTATTTTTATTTTTTTACCACATAAAAGTTACCCTCAATGTAAGACTGTTTGTAAGCTTTCTGAGCATTTCTTTATACATTAACACAAGCTGCCAGTTTCTTCACACCAGAAAATGAAAGGACTTTGACTGTCTTAACTTTTCATTGTTGCAACATGACGATTTCATTGTATTCAAAATGTCTTCACCTATGCTGCCCAAATATTACAGTCAGCACCTAAGTCAAGTATCCGAAAACAAGTGTTCAGAAAAAAAGGAAACCATTGCTATATGGAGACCTAATGTCTAACTATGTTACTGTTAACAACTCCCATTTGGTGTCTGGTACTTCATTTGAATTGAGAATATCCTGCAAATGACAGACGGGCATAACCACCGTGGGACTTCAGTGTGCAGCAAAGTGTTCTAATATGATCAAATTTGAAATTCTGATTGACAGTAACAGGGTCCTAGGTACCTGCCAGTTGTAACCATCTGCACAGTAGGCTGCCAGTTGTGTACAATCATGTATGCAGGGGCTCTGTCCTGGGACATAGGGCCAGATGGTTCTTTCAGCTGGAGTGTTACACCTCCTGATCTTACTGTTATAATTACTGCTACATGTACAGTACATGTGACATTGTCAGTGATACATTTTGTATGTGTACTGCAGCTAGCCTGGGTACCTAACCTATTTTTGCAGCCGAATCTCTTTCATCCTCTTAAATTCCCAACAAATTTTTGCAGAGAGGACAATAGAGACCGTTTGGGAACCAGGCTATACTTTATACAGCAAAAGAGTCATGAATACATGTACCACTATATAGACTAGGGCTACATGTATGTGCTAAAATATGACATCATTATAGGAACAGTTTTACAGAGATTTTTACAGAGGTTTTCATACCTGTTCCTATACATTAGATGTACTTAAAAGTACAGAGTAAGACTGAACCTCTAGCTGAACAGTTTGACAAAGACAGAATTTGTTTCCCCCCTAGCCAATTTTTGTTAGTACAGTCCTGCTGATGCCAATGATGTGATATATTGATAGATCCCCACATGGTAGACCATTAATCGATATGGTTAGTGCCTGTCTGGGTCATCCCCCAAATGAATGTGTTTCTGTCTGGCACACACATACAGCAGTTCATAAAACAGGCTGAATACGATCACAGATGTGGTTCTTTCTATTACAAGTTTTCTGGACCAACGAAAATACCATTCACATCATTGGATATCCAATCAGATATTTTGTCCAGTGACTGTCCCACAAACCACAGATTTTCTTGAATAGCAAGGCTCTTTTTAAAAAGTGGTTGTGTGTAAAGAACTTTGCAATTCAATCATTCACCAATCTGATGAAATTGTTTATGGATACAGTTTTGGTCATTATAATGATGCATTATTATAAGCTTTGCAGACACTTGAATGGTCAATCTGATTGCTAGGGGTCCTAGAGGGTACCCAATTGCAGATACCCTCTAATCCAGCTCTTGTGTGAGGAATGAAAGTGCCTCGTCTGACAAGCTAATTGGATTAACTGTCAATCTCGGGTTTAGTAGATATGATAATCAGTCATAATGGACTAAAGAGTCCTATATCAGTACTGCTAATGCCTAAAACATAGATAATACATGTAGTATGTATGTCCTTACATTTTTTGGGGGGGATAAAACGATTCAAATATACATGTAGATATACAAGCATCCAAACGGGTTTGGAACACGTGGACAGAAAATTCAAGTTACATTTTGATTGGAATCTTCGAAATGGTTTTGCGGTTACGTAAATGATTCAAATATAGATTGATATACAAGTGCCAAAACTTGTACGGAACATGTGAATGGAAAACGCATATTACATTTTGATTGCAATCTTCAAAAGTGCAGGATTCATTTCCATATCATTTATAAGCAATTTAGCAAATTACTGCGTCGTGCAAAAATTTCATATCTTCTTTGGTTGATAATATCATTGCCTTTGGCAGCATTGCCAACATGTATGACATCCCACCTGCTTGATTGACAAGAGAACTGCCCAGAGAGAAGGGATCATACTTACGCCAAAGGCAATGATATTATCACAGAAAGTAGATTTGAATTTTACATGACAAGTAACTTTCTTGATTACTTATAGATGCTTTGAAAATTGGTCCTCCATTTCTGAAATACTCTTACCCAAATCGTGATCTACAGATTTCAAATCAAATGCCCCCCTGTAGGTGTAACAATCTGTGCTTCAACAGGGTTTCTATACTGGAAGGAAGCCATTTTTGCAACTTGTCAAGCCATGTACCCTTATAATACCCTAAACATTTGAAGAGATCTATGCAGCATTGAATTGGGCACTAAGTAGCATCATTTCTATCTGGAAGCCTTAGGGTACCCATCAGAAATATGACAGTGGACGTTACTCCTGATTTGAAAGTCAGTGACAAATCAATATCTTCTGCTGATTCAAAGAAGTCAAACTGATATCAGAGGTCACCCTGATATGCCGAATGTCCATCTCTTATCACTTATCAGTGGATGTAGTATTCAGTGTGGACAGTAGTGATAACTATGTCAGCTGCCCGGCTGACTGTAATGAGATTTTTATTGTTCCTTTATACATCAGATACAAGCAAGCAGAGGAAAGAATGAAATGATTTTGTCTTGAAAATTTACCATTTTTATAGCAAGTCTCATTATTTGAAGGAAAGTATGATCCTATATTATGAAAAACAATAATACACTGATGTAGGAATTCTGACTAATATTCATGTTATATGTTGTTACACACTTTACACAGTACATGAATTCTTGTTCTGAATGATTTTAATGTAGCAATTATAGCTTTTACCTCCGGAAACTACATTCATGAAGATTCTGAGATAGAGTAAGGTTAATGTAAAAGATCTCAAGATTTCGTATAAAATATTGAGATCTTTGCAAAAAATTTTGAGATTTTTCAATTTTGAAATTAGTGTGAAGA